AAAGCAGAGAAGAAACTCGACACAAAGGAACATTTACACCTCACTGCCAACTAGCGTTTCGGAAGTGTTGATGCAGACCAACAGAGACAGCGCGCAGAAGTATAAATGCACAGCCACGCGTGTTGCATGCGCCGTGGGCTACGCCGGTCACTTGACGCAGAAGTATAAATCAGGCTTAACACACACACACACACACGCACACACGCACACACGCACACACACACACGAACACGATTCATTTTATTTGGAATGACTAATACTATTAGAACAACACAGCATCCAAATAATCGTAAGGAGCCCATAATGTTTCACAGTACAAGCAGCATGCAACCATCGATGATCTTTTGCGTGGCACTATTAACACTCAATCCATTCTGCGCGTAGTATTAAGTAAATGGATTAAGGATAGAGATGGCATCATCTTCTCCACACATGAAGACTGCCTATTATTGCAGATACAGAACAATACTTTGCAATTTATTTAGAGCCTTTTTTACAGAGTCCGGCAATTTGTAGTCCCCTCACACACAGTTTATGAACGTGCCCTACGCTACCGTAAATTAAAACCACCAACTTTGTGTTGTAGCCACACACTTTCAGAGCATTCACTAATGGTTGATATTTCAGCATTTTTTCTGAATAGCACAGATCCACGTATGAGTCAAAACAGCAGCCTACTTCCATAATCAGAATGTTTTTCAATACTTCATCCACAACAACAATATCAGGAGTGTTTGGAAAATCTCTAATGACAGCAGTCAGAACATGTGCATTACTGCTCAATGATGGAAACCAGTTCATTCGTACAGTCTTGTTAATGTATAGTGCACTGTGCACACACACACCTAGAAGATTATAAATGAATCATTGTAAATATACTGACTATTATTGTTTTCATAATTGTTTAATCCTAAAATGTTGATAGTTAAATGTGGTTTATTCTGATGTATTTTGTATTGATTTGTATGAATAATGTGAATAATATAATATATTGAATATTAATGTGATATATTGAATAATATGATGTATTGTTGATATTTAATTTAATTATTATACATAAATATCTTTTTCATTTTTATTTTTTACTACTACAATTTACTGTTTTTTTATTATATATGTATGTTACTTTTATGTAAACTTTATAACTGCTTTGGCAATACATTTGTCATGCCAATAAAGCAATTATTGAATTGAATTGAACTAAATTGAGAGTGAGTGAGAGAGAGAGAGAGAGAGAGAGAGAGAGAGAGAGAGAGAGAGAGAGAGAGAGAGAGAGAGAGAGAGAGAGAGAGAGAGAGAGAGAGAGAGAGAGAATTTTTTTGAATTTTGAATACACTTTTATTTAATACAAATTTTTAAACTACAACATGTTTCATTGCTTTAAACAAACACATTTCAAAATCACACTATATTTTCTTCAAAAATCAAAACGTTTTTTTCAACCAAACACAACATATTTTTTACACTCCACATGTCTTCAAACTTGTCCAATTCGTTCATTGACAAATAAAAATTAAAATCATGCCTTA